GATACGTTCAAGTGATCAGGACGTTTATTCATCATTGTTACTGCCCAACATGTTTGCGGCATTAACGAGTGTGATTGATTCCCACTTTCTTGAAAAACCTTCACTTTACTCGTACGAGGAATTTTGAAACCCCGTTCCAATACATATGCAACCGGTCAATTTTCAACTTCTCAAAAATGCTGGTTCTAACATCTTCTGCAATTATGCATTTTCATATTAAGAAAATGCATATAACAATAACATTGATATTAGTGTAAGACTATCTTTGGTTACTAACTTCACAGAACAACGCACAGAGAAAGAAGGCTTAGCAGCCAACAGAGCACATTGTTTCAGGCAGACCCTAGCAGTGTCAGTTGTTTATGAATAAACTTAACTGTCGCATATCATCAAAAGACTTCCATTTGAGACCGTATGTGTGTTTCTGCGATTCAGAACATGACATTAATCACATGGTTGCTTTATGTTGGACGACACAATGGGTCGTGTCAAGACGAGTCGATGCGTCGCGTATTTCGAGCAGCGAGTCCGGCGGGCAAAGGGTTGCCTACGTGCTCCAGTGAACAAAGTATTTTTTAAATGTTATTCATGTGGTCCCACTTTGAAATTTGGCAGATCTATATAACATTAGTGTAGAAATATATGAGTATTTATTACAATGGATTTAAGTGTTGATCTAATGTAAAAATGTGCATTTTAAACGTTAAATATATTTTAAATATTAAATAATATTTTTTACAAAAATTATTTTACATCATATGAAAGTACATCATTTTAAATTAAATTTAAGTAATTTTATTTTTCTAAAAAAATCGAATTGCGCAAAGAAATTAACATTTGCGTGCGCATGATTTTTGGAAAAGTATTGGTAATATTTCCGAGACGGGTGGAATTAGAAAAGGAAAAATACATGTTACATCTTTTCAACTCTAGGCCTCATAAAAAAGTTTCAAGTCGGTAAAAAATAGTGATGTTTTGTGAGTGCGCACTTTGTCGTGGAACAACTAATATATTTTATATATTCTTTTATATAATTTTTTTTATAAAATTGAGCATGGTGTCTTTAAAAATCTATTTATTAGAACAGATTCCATTTCAGAAAAAACCTCTATAATGAGTATTGTATTTTTACAATGTTAATGTTTTGCAATTTTCAAAAATAGAATACCCCGAAAATGGGAATTACGACATTTTATAAGCGCCTCGAGCTCCATTAAAGGAAAAATTAAGGAAAATGTTGAAACAGTTTTTGAGAAAACTCCAAAATGTTTTTTTATTAAACGTTGTCTTTGGATAGCATAATTGACGCTTCAAATAATGGTGCTAGTGTGAAGAAGAAGTGATTAACTTTGCCTAGAGATGTGCACGTTGGCCTAGCAGCGCCCTCCTTTGTATGACAGCTCAGGTCAGTGTTACGCCACATTCAGTCGGTGTACAACGACCAACGACAGGGAAACGTGCAAGCAAGTGCCAGGTGGCCTCGCCGATGCCAAAGGGTGCAGTATCAGCATCTGAGTAGAGCGGAGCAGAATGATCGGTCTCCGGGAAGGACCATGTCGTACCGTGACTTTGCGGCTCGAATGGGCGCGCTGCGACAGTGCGTGTGTGAAACCAGTGGATAGTGGAGGGTCGTGCACTGCGACGAGCGGGTTCTGTATCACATAATGTGACCACAGCGAGAGACTTGTCCACAAGGCCGTAACTGTCAGAATGGCGTCGTTCAGAGTATTGGTTGGACTTCGGAGCACTGCAACGGGTATAATCACGTCTGCGTGGACGACTTTTACTGAGGGCGGAATTAGTTGCACGCATATCACAGTGTCGGATTCCGATGACCAGAAACCACCAAAGCCTCAGATGCGTTGGGCGCGTAAACGAGTTTAGTGGTGTGCTGAGAGGTAAAATATAGTGTGTTCAGACGAGTCCCACGTCAATTGGTGCTACAGCGATGGCCACGTACGTGTTTGACGCTACCATGGTGATCGCAGTCTGATAGCCTGCATTGTTCCGTGCCATAGCGAATAAACACCAAGTGTGATTCGGGGTGCCATTGACTAGAATGTGTGATCTCATACGTATGAGGACAATCTGAACCGCAATCGATACATCAGGAAGGGTTTAGAACCCGAGATACTGCCCCTCCTGCAAGTAGCTCCACATTTCATTTTTCAGCGGGACTGCTTCCTTGACCGGCACGTTCGCCTAATACGACGCCCATCGGTCGGCAACTTGTTCGTTCTGGCCCTCCTGCAGCGACTGCAGCGACAGTCTCCCTTTGAATCCATACTGCGACGTCTAGAGGCTCTGATGGCAGTGCGTGGAGGCTTCATACCGTATCAAATACTCTAAGTCACAATGCAGGTACAGTTCTGTAATTCAAATCATTTGTATATTGTGGTATTCCTAATCGGTGGAATACTGTTTTTTGATCGGAGGTCTCCTTGATGTTGCAATTTTCGCAAAGGGCAGTGTTTTAATGCCTTGGTAGTGCTAGGAATAAAATAAACTAGTGGTGATACAGCTGCACATACTGTCTCGCCTTATTTAGCACAGCCACGTAATATTGAAATATTACATTTTGTGCGCTTCTAACACCTCAGCCATTATTTCAAAACTTAAAATTCATTCAAGAACTTCCAACACCTCAGCTATTGATTCAAGAGCAACAAACTGTTGCCAGCAGAGCGTTATCAAAACTATGTGCATTCGCTTGGCTAATAATAACAACACAGTAGCTAGAATATATGTAATTGGCATCAAAATAACTACGGACATTCGTGAGATGCTTTTCATCGTAAGATAACAGTTCCGATAGTGTTCTATTTCACCACCGACTTCTAACATCCACATTTCAGATGCGATAAACACGGTTGTTTTTCAACATAGAGAGGGTCAATGATTTCTCGGAAGAGAGAAAATGGTATAAAAAACTAGTGCTACTCAGGTGCTTCACAATCGATGCGGCATTGTTGGGAAATTTCTATTAAGCTTTGCTGATTGCTCGGAAAGAAAATACATTGAGAATACACATTGAGTAAAAAGTAAAAAAGAGAGAAAGGAAAAATACAATTAATATTGTCATTTCCAATAGGAAATTGTAATTAAAATTAAATTAAATATTTTTCACATAATTCATTCAATTACTCTCGTGGCTCGTATACAGGAGTTTGTACGAAACCTGTATATATTTCATTAAGTTCAAGTAGAAGTTACGTAAAGTAATTCATTTTATCAAAAAAATTTTACATGACCATTTTTAAATAGCCAATTTTGTACAACAGACTTTTTCTGTGACAAAAATCTCTATCTCCAATTTTGAAGTTTTAATATATTTTTCAATTTTCGAAAAATCGAGTAAGTCAACGAAAATAAGAACTGCACCATTCTCTTAAAGTTTTTTTGCACTATTCAAAAACATTATATAATCCAAAAATTTGGAGCCATTTTTTAAAAAAATTAGAAAATGTCCCAGGGTCTTCGAGTTAAGTACCCCCAGAATTAAAATATCGGTTTCATTTCCAGGGTCCGAGACATTAGCCAGAATAATTGGGGAATATCAATTTTGAAGAAAATCGGCTGAACCGTTTATACGCTAGCGTTGTGCACAAACGTTTGGCCGTCAGACGTTTGGATGGACCGACGTTTTGCCATATATCGATTTTTTGGTATGAAGACGCACAAAACATGGATTCTCGCTACATTACGGGTTAGAGGATATTTTCCTAAATTTAGCAAGTGGATTTAACCAATTTCTCCTTGCCAGAGTGCGGCAATTAGAGTTTTTGTGTCGAAAGTCCGCCGTTTTCCGACGCTCGATTACAATACTTTCTCTTCTGACGTTAGTATGTGAGAGAAAGTAAAATTCACGCTACTTACATTTCCCTTAATTACTATTTAACTTTTCATTTATTATTGTCAATAAAAAGTATCTTAAGAAGAATTTGAACTTCTAAATTTGTTGAAGCTGCGAAATACAGCTTAGATGAGTTGGGAGAGCATTCGGAGTAACTACAACGAGAAGTTTTGTACATCGCATTCTGTGTTCTCATCAGACGAGAGAGTTCTGGGAAATAGCGACACGTAATATACAAATATTATTACTTTGCCAAAAGAATCAATGCTTATTGAAGAGATTGCCAGGGTTACTTTTGTCTGAACGAAAATAAACGTTCTCCTTATGAATTTCACGTCATTCATGCCTTCTGTGTTTTCCAGCGTCTCAGAGCGCTGGTTTAATGACACTACACGACAATTGCTTGCTGCCAATGTACCACAAAATTTCAATGCGCCCCATATGAGTATTTCTTAGCTCCTCGATCGCTACAAAAGAGGTCGCGGCTCTTCTCAATTTCAAACAATGCGAGCTCGTCGCGTCTGATGTGGAAAAAAAATTGTATTCCAGGAAACCTGACAATAGGCAACTCTTTCGTCGCGGCCGCCCGGGAGGTGGTGCAACTTGTTAGTGATTTTCCGAAGCAGTTGAAAATCGATTTCAAGAGCTTGTAAAAAGTGAGTATTTGGTCAATTGGTAACGAATTCGCGCGTTTTTTTTAGCAAGATTAGATCTCCGCGTCGTCAAGTTTGAAATGCACGATCTTTTCTTCTAAAATGCCTTTAAAGAGCTGCTAAACTGAGCTGTTCGAAACGTGGCGCCAAATTTTAATTAAGTTTGTGGCCCGTGTACCAACAAAACTGCTCAATTTGATGTTTTTTCAGCTTATTAGAGCAATTCTGTTGCCTTTGATGGTCTTAATTGGATATTGGGAAGTGAGGGTGGTAAAATGTAGTAAATGAATATTGTTAGTACGTCGAGTAAATGAAAACACACATTCAAGAAGAAATAATTTTAATTTTTCATAGCATAGATTTCAATAAGTTCCAAAGTGAAAAAGATAGTCTAACAATACTAAAGAGAATTGAAAAGAGGAAATAAGTCCAAAAAATGCATTTCTCTTTAAAGAAAAAAGTGTAGGTCAGTGAGATTGACTACGCGTTGGCCTTCAACTGGAGGTGGACGCTGAGTTGTCCTGAATGACCATGTCGACGCCCTTCTCCGCGACCATGATGATGGGGCCGTTGACGTTGCCGCCGGGCACGCGGGGCATGACGGAAGCGTCCATGACGCGGAGGCCGTTGATGCCCTTCACTCTCAGGCGGGAGTCCACGACGGTTCCCATGGACACGGTGCCGGCCTGTGGAAGGGTATTTAGTCAATGGGTTGCCATGGTTTTACTTCATTTTTTTCGTCAAAGTAGAGTAAAAAATGTTTGTGAAGTATCATCATCTGATCACGTTTTCTTGAGCTCCAGAATATCTTCCCAACATTTTAACTATTATTTCCTGAGATATGAAGAAAAATTTTAAAAAAGCGAGTTTAGCAACATTTTAAAAATAGGCATTTTCGCTCTCGAGTTATATGAAATTTTATGTCTTAGTAAATCTGCTGCAGCTTTGACTTTTTTTGATTTGCTAACAAAAGAATAACACATCCAGGTTCTACTCAGAAGGTTCACTACTAGCAAAAAGAGAACTCAACAAAACGTGAGCACAGATAAGCTACATTTATGTCGAGATGCAAAAGAAGGAGACCTCGCCATTTGCTCAACGGGTCAGGAAAGCTTGACAAAAACCTGATTAAGATGGGTTCATTGACCCAGAAGTTTATTAAATGTTACAGGCATATTAAGTCTTTTTTTAAACTATCGAATACAAATGTGAACTAATGCATTATATATCCCTGTGAAAATAAATATTATTTATCTTTCTAATGATCAGAACAGTCTTTAATTGTGTCAGAAACAGTCATGAAGCAGAAAGTATTTTACTTTTAAATTAAGTATGTGTACCGATTTTTATTGTTTAATGTCATCTGGCACTGCGTTGTGAAGCAACGTACATGTTTTATAATTTATGCTGATTTCTTGAAATTACCTATTGATACCGACACCCAATGAATGTAGTTTCTACAACGTGTGTTGTAATTACAAATATCAGTATTGCCTGAAAATGTGTTCCTATCGTTCGATAAAAGTCAGTTTAGCGTTGCGTAGTTAATTTTCGCTTTGTAGATGTCGCGGAGGGATGCCTCCACAACAAATGAGACTTGTAAAGATATCGTCATGAACGTTTTTTGTTGGGCTGGCGGAGCGCTTACCTGGTGGTTCTCGGGGTTGGTGAGGTACTTGACGGAGCACGCCCAGTAGGCGTCGGTGTTGTACTCGATGTGCTCGCAGCCGGCGGTGGGCGTGGTGTCGTGCACGACCTGGAGCGCCGCCAGAGGGGAGGTCTGCGCCAGCCGCAGAGAGAACCTGCGAGCAGCAGAGCGCGCGTTAGAATGGGAACCACCCACATAACCGCGTACTACAACACGTTCGCGCCGCCGCCATGGAAGCTGGATGGAGTGTGCTGTATGAGAACCAGCGGCGAATTTGATCTAGATTTGCAGTTAGTGTCGAAAATCCTGCCAGCGACTGGGCAAGAAACCTAGGATCCTCAGTCAGAGGCACTGCAGCGACATCAATTAGGCGTCTCCCCCGCCTTTTTTCACTGAAACGAAATCCAGCTGGTGCGCGACTCACTTGATGGAGTCGACGAGCACGTCGAGGTCGCGTTCGACCTCGAAGTAGTTGGCGTGGATGAGCGGCAAGTCGTGGGGGTCGGTGGAGCGCAGCTTGAGCGTGCCGGCGCTGGACGGGCGCAGGAGCGTGGGCGTGATCTCGAAGTAGGGCACGGGGCCCGTGATGGGCTGCTCGTCATCGGCGCCCGTGCGCGACGCGTTGGCCAGGAAACCCGCGAAGAAGATCTGCGTGTCGGGCACGTCGGCGGGGGCGTCGCCGCCCGGGATGGACGAGCGGATGAAACCCGTCAGCTGCAACAAGCGCACGCTCTCACAGCTCTGAAGAGGCGATGTTCCACCATCCGAAGTAATCGATCATTGGAATGGCTGATTAGAATCCTTGAGTTATTGGAATTACTGAGTAATTGGATAAACTTAGTATATAGAAAACTGAGTAATAGGAATTTCCGGGCAACTGAAATTTTTGTAAATAACAGGTTATTTCGGAAATATCCAGTCTAGGATCCATTTGACCAGCTCAATCGAAACACCGAAAATGAGTCAGTCAAGTTCAACATTTATGAATATGATTTTAGCTTTGTTACTTGTGAAAATGGCACATATCTGCTGTTCGCTAATACAATGTAAACATGTGTGGTTCTATTTTATTTAAACTTCCCACTTTTTCCCATATACTTGTGGTTTTTCAACAACGTTGCGCGCCGAACAGCTGATGGAAATGAGTGTCCCTTTCGAAATACGCAGTTCAACCAGGGCAACGTCAAGCGTCTCCCGCTAGCAATAAGCAAGATAAGTGAAACGTTGGAGTGCAACCCACCTGGGACAGGCCTGTGGAGGTGAGGGGCCCGGTGCGGTTGGAGATGAACTCGAAGACGGTGGTGTTGCTGAGCTGCTCGTGGGCCTCGCCGCTGAGGATGCGGAACTTGAGGGTGAAGGAGACGTGGTTGAGCAGGTTCTCGCCGACGGGCAGGTCAGCCAAGACCTTGATGCCTGCAACCACCCACGCAAAGGAAATATAACTGCTCTGCGGCTACGATTCCGATATTACCTTAAAAGTCCGTACGAAATTATATGTTATGAATGTTAAATTGTCAGAGAATATTCCAGAATATAACAAGAGCTGATACACATCCGGCGAAACAGACGCGAGAAATGGTTAATACATTGAGAAATTTTAGTGAAAAGCGTTTTTTTAAGAAAAGAAGATGTGTCAGAATATGTAACAGAGGGAAGAGAACAATATGAAATGTAGGATACCGTGGGTGGAGAGAAAAACGCGAATGTTCTTAAGGATGTCCAATAAAAGATTTAAATGAATTTTCAATCATCAGTAAGCAAAGGAAAGGACAAGTCTTGGCTCCCCGAGAAAAAAGCTAAAAGAATAAGCTTCAATATTCAGGACGAAACAAGCTGGGAGCTTCCAAAGAAAAAAATGAAGTCCGGAAAAAACTGAAACAAAAGGAAAGGTAAAGTCGAAGGAGGGAGTGACAGTTTTGAGGTGAGAGAAAGAAGTGGAGACGGAGATGGAAGTGGAGGCTAAGGTGGGGAAAAGGAAGGTGACGGCGAAAGAGAAGTGGAGGCGGAGAGGGGAGGCCACTCACCGAGGGCTTCCAGGTCGGCCTTGGGGCCGATGCCGGAGAGCAGAAGCAGCTGCGGGGAGGCGACGGCGCCCGCGCTCACGATCACCTCCTTGCGCGCGTACACGTTGTGGAGCACGCCGTCGCGCTCGTACTGCACGCCCTTGGCGCGCTTCGTCGTCTCGTCGATCAGGATCTTGGTGGCCTGCACACCACACACACACGCCCATTTATTGGCTCATCGTACGGCAAGGAGTTTTTTTTCTTTATAATGATCACGATGTTGATGACAAGATATGTATTGAGTAGGGAGCGGATTTTGATGACCTAAAATATTGCCAAAAATTATCAATAAAATTCTCTTAAACTGAATTTAAAATACTCTAAACCCAAAGAAAGATGACGTAAAAAATATTATCAAAACCAGTTCGAATGAACAACTCAAGCTGTTGGATACGTTACTTATGATCGAGACTTCTTCTATTCGTTCACGTGAACTCATCTTTCAAACATTTATTTTCGACTGTACTTTACCATAAATTCTCAGTCTTTAGTTATTCCGAAAACGGCTTAACCACTAATGGCGCTAGGAGGCATCACAGGAACCTTAGATTAGATACTCACAATGGCTGACATTACACCATTGAATGAAGAAATCGAGTAGGCGGACATGGTATTTTCTACACAACTTGAATCATATTTTTTAGACAGGATGTACAGTTGACGTGCTGATATTACGAGAAGAGTCGCAATAATACGTGCGTAGACTTTGAAGAGTAATTAGGATGGTATTACGTATTGTGTACCTACTCAACTTTCCTAAACGCATTTATTGTCACGAAATTTAGAAATATCTATTAGAGAGAAAGGTGGAGGTTACTGAGACTGTCCCAAACTATTGTTGTATCAACTACAACGTTGTATATTCATCCAATTTTTTAAATAAATCGCCTGAATTGAACGTGTTAGAGAAATACTGAGATATTGTCTCAAATATACTATTTGCCTTTGCCCTAATGGGGCAAGAACATATGTCACAGTAGCTAAATGACATATTGTTTTAATCTCCTAGATTTTATTTTTTGATATATTTTGTGAATGTGCATTGTAATGACATGGGAATAATGTGTTTGAAAACGGTATTCTACAACGCGTATGTAGTTAAGTAATTTCACACACGAATAGATAGGCAAATAAAACATGTTTTCCTCAGCGCCATGTCCTTCACACCCAATCATATCCAAGTATGATGCAAAATATTTGTATGCTAAATCAATGAATTAAAATTATTTTTCCGTGATAACAGGTGCAGGCGATTACTTCCACGTCACGTCACTTGAGAACTATTTTTGAAGCGTGAACTGTGACAATGTATCTGGAAGTGAGGTAATTTCTATTGTTACACTCCATTGATTATGGTATCATTATAGTTTTGTTTAGTAATAATCGGCCACGGTAATTATGAAACGTTTTTCAAAAGTAATAAATCAAATTTAAAAATTTATACTTTGTCAAATCATTGTGATCAAACAATAAATTAAACTTGCGTAGCTGTTGGGATTGTTTTTTCCAAATACTTCCAGAAAATTTAGGTTATTTCACTATCTTTCTCTGTGCAGATTGTCTCGCCTAACGATAGATTCTCTTTGTATTAAAATTATTATTTATTTTTTGTCTTTAGATATTTCAAATGTATCAGACTGTTTGTGGTATTTCATTTTAAAGACAGAAATTTCTTTTAGGACAACTGTTTTTCATTAGTGTATTATATTGATACATAATAAACCGTGCATAAACATACGCACATAAAACATTGCTAATGTTATTATTTGTACCAAATATAATACATTGATGAAAAACCCTTATCCTAAAACAATTTTCTGCTTTTAAAATAAAAAACCAAATACTCATTCTGTCAAATTCTCATTATTTTGCTGTGTCGTTCGCGTAAGTGCTAATTGGAATCCCTTCTTTCTGTTGTAGGTGGGCTGGGCTGTGAGGCTCACCAGTGAGTGCTGGCTGATCTTGAGGTTGGAGCGGTAGACGGCGGTGTGCAGGAAGGCCTTGGACAGCGAGAGGCGCGCGCCGTCCCGGGTGGTGGACTGCGCCAGGGTGAAGCCGGTCTGGTTGTGGCCCACGAGGTCGACGAGCGCGCGGTAGCCCAGCTCCTTGGCGCCGGCCAGGATGTAGTCGGCCAGAATAGGGTAGTCGTGGAATTGCTCGATGGTGACAGGGCCGCCAGTGCCGTGGTACTCGGCCTGTGGGGCAAACAACACACGATCAAACGCCTCCCGTCCGTCCAAAATTGAAATTCTCGGAATTACTTCTCAAACCGCAATATCTCACAATGGTATGGAAACGTCCCTGAAATACAGTATAATAATAATAAAATTAATAATAGGATTTATAATGTGGGGTCAATGCAACCATATGAAACTATTGCTGTTAAAAGTACTCACAAAACACAGTTTCACTGTTAGTTTCTGAGAAAACGTTTAGTCAAGTGTGTTATGCCAAAAATCGCATTATTAACAGTTTCCTGCAAAGTCTTTTGTTTCAAATTAATATGTCAAAAATGGATTGGGCACTGTCAAACACGATGTTGCAACCGAAAGCATATCATCTAATGTCTCAGTATTACATTCACTACAAGGAAACCGTCTTACGTTCCATTAGCATTGCCTGTTGAGTGAGCGAGCTCTTACCTCAGCGTAGGTGCCAATTTGTCTGTTGTCCTCGGACTTCTTGAAGTAGGGCAGCACTTCGTCGTAGCTCCATCCCTCGTTGCCAAGAGCGGCCCAGTTGTCGTAGTCCCACTTGTTTCCGCGCATGTACATCATTCCATGGAGGACACCGGTTCCGCCCATGACCTTACCTGTGAAGAGAGATTAAAACTACTTTGGACATATGGCACTCAAATGTTCAATATTTCGATAGGTATTTCTAAATCACAGAGAACGGTTCTGTGGCTTGTCCCCTAAAGTGTGCTACTTCTCTTCGTATGTAACCTCCAACATATCCCGCATTTTGCTAGACACCAGCTCTTTGGCCGGTCGAATGACGAAATATACGAATCACTTCGGGGCTACCAAAGCTACCAAAGGAGTAAGGTCCCACCCGCACCCTACGAGTAAACGTTCCCAAACCACACAGGAGCAGGTGCATCCTCACCGCGGGGCCAGTATCCCAGGCCGCCGGGCTGGCCGAGGAAGGCGTTGGTCTGCGGCTCCAGCGGGTAGTTCCAGTCGATGTCGGACTTGAGGTAGCTGAAGTAGGTGCCCGGGATCTGCGTGCCCGTGGGCTCGGGGCCGCCGGCCTCCAGCAGCGCCACGGTGAACTCGGGGTGCTCGGAGAGGCGGCCGGCCACCACGGAGCCCGCCGAACCCGCGCCCACCACCACGAAGTCCACCAGCTGCCGACGCGCAATGCGGGGCATCATTAATAACTCAGTTCATACCATAACAATCAAAAGCATCATAATCATGCGGTCCATCCGGATCAAGCCATAGCATTGATTTTACATCAAACAAGCTCAAGGGCCGGAATCACCTGCACGTGACCCCCCCCCCCCGATTTGCGACCTATAAAATCTAAGTCATCAATAATGAATTACCAAATGACAAGTACTAATGAATTGTTTGCAGTTTTGAAATTGCAGTAAACACTTTATTGTCTATTTCTACTTGAATTTATGTACGAACAAAGAGCAGAAATGCACTATACGCCAAAATTACTGCAAGATATCTTGAATAAATAAAAACAACAACTCTCTAGTAGCAGTGGTGCCAAATTTCATTTTTAGTACGTTTAAGAAAGGCCGTAACACGAGTTTGGTGACACTAACTTACTAAAATTTGTAAACTATTTGCAGAAAATTAACCAAGATTCACCTTTTGGTGAAACCGGGAACTCCGGAGTTAAAGTTCTGCAGAATTTCGTGCAACATGTTACATTAGGTTCAAGAATCGACAAGTGGCTCGCAGTCTCAAATTTGATGTATAATGATTTTTCCTTCTCGAAATTAAATTTAATTGTATTTAGTTGTCTAACGATGGCTCACAAATAAACAACTAAATATTATCCTTAAATCCCATTTCAGCTAAGCGCATGTGACTTTACTGCTTTGGAAAGACAGTAAATTGACCTTAATAAACGTGAACTAAGTCACTTACAACTTAATACGATTTTAATGAAAATATAATAAAACTAAAACCAAAATATGTTATTAGTCGCCAGCAGTTTGATGTCTCTATTTATTTATAGAACCCTTTCCATATTTCACACGTTGAAACGCGCTTTTTAAGTTAATTAACATTGACATTCGATCATGTTTGGTAGCTATTAGATAACAGTACAAAGCCCGAACTGGCGACAATTGGAGCAACAAGCTAGCCCGCTACCGGTTGTAGACTGTCTCGATAACACATACTCTCTCGTACGTTTTCTTCTTTAACAGTGTGTTAGGGTGGTCGTTATTAAGACACGGTCAGAATTTTTCTATCTCTCGCCCTTCTTATATTCAAAATGAAATAAAGGAAATATACTTATTTTCAGGATCGTTCGTAATCCACGATACCAAGCAATTAGAGTTTTAAAGTATTTTTTGGATCCTCGGTTTCCAAATATTGAAGTGTCATCGAAATTATAACTGTATGGTGACTTTTCAAATGTATAGCATTTTGAAATGTTCTGTCAGACCCACATATCGTATTAAGATAATCTTTCGAACATGAAATTCTGGCGACGAAATATAGGGGATCTTCGGCAGTCGGTGAAACTGTTACACGGTCATTCTAGAGTGGGGGATTCCTTCATTATACTCACTGATATAACAACACTGAAAGTAAAGTGCTCGTTTATCTACTTACATATCACCGGTGATAAGTCGACGCTGAGACACGCCTTGCTAAAAATGAACACAACCCACAAGCATTTGTCATTTTCTATACATTGAAGATAATTTTTAAATTAGAAGCAATAACTGTGTCTAGGACAGTCCTATAACAATATGAAGTGGTTATGATTTTACCTAATCATAAACGGGCTAGTATTTTTGAGAAGATAGTGGATATACAAAAAAGTGAAAGATTCCGGGCAAACATATTACTCTTTTCGAGCAGTCGGCTAAATAAGGAAAAACCCCCGTCTGTGGAAGTCCTTGCAGTTTCCAGATTTTCTGATCGCCGGGGAGACTCGGGTTCGAGTCCCGTTTGCAGAGGATGTTTGACTATAGCACGATAGCAAGGTTGAATTCTTGCGGAGGAGAATTCTAGTGATCGGTTGCTGTGAGCTTCCTCCATAAACTGGCCACGGAGTGCATACTTCCTCATTCTTTTACCCTCTTAACCCCTTACACAAGCACTTACATGCACTTGACTAACCGGGTCAGAGACCAGTCGAAACCTGCGGGAGGAAATATCCTCCAGCAAACGTGTAAGTTGGAGTCTCACGTTTAGCAGGCAAGGAACACTCCCTTCCGGGATATCACACATATCGTTGTCTCACCCGAAATTAGAAAATAGCGAGTGTGCGTGGTTGCAGTGTGTGGGAGTGGGGGTGGCGCGTGGAAGTGGGAACGGTGTGTGGGAGTAGGAGTGGGGGCGCTGTATGTGTACCTCGTCCTCGGCGAGCGTCTCGCCCTCGAAGCAGCGCAGCGGGTCGACGATGTCGCATTGCGTCTCCAGCACGTCCTCCACGCGGTCCATGTAGGGCGCGAAGTCCTCCTGGCCCGGCACCGCCGTCACCACGGTGGCCAAGCTGGGCGTCTCGGACGCGGCGCACGCGCACCGCTGCCACGACTGCACGCGCGGCAGGTCCTCCGCGCGCGCCGCTGCGGCCAGCAGCGTCAACACCACCAATCTGCGACACACCAACCGTTCAGGCCTTCTACACCAGGGGCTTCCTACTTTGCAAGGCCGCAAGGGCCACAACTAAAAACATTTTAAATGGTTGCGGGCCATATTTTCATTACTCGGACGATCCACACCTGACTTCCCCGAATTGTTGATCTCGGCAGTTTGCCCAACTGCTCTGAAACGGGGGGGGGGAGGAATGAAACCGTTCCTGATATCAGGCCGTACCAACACAGGGAAACACATTGGGATGCTTTTGAATTTCTGAATTTCTTAGAACAAAAATCCATAAATTTCAACTTAACCAATTTTACATTAAAAGGAGTGTTGGCCTTAGCAGGGTGCATGCGCTAGGTGTACAATGTACTCGCCCGAAATGAATGAAAAATAATTGTACTTTTCACTAATAACTTTTTGCGGGTCACAACAAATGGCACACTGCGGACCGCCAGTTGGACAACTCTGTCTACACTATAATTCCTTTTTGTTTGATTCGTTCCTTCTCCTTCCGTGGAGGCTGACCACGTGTTTGCTTCGGGAACATTTTTCCTCGTCGTCTGAACTTCTTCCTGCTGATTCATTGCATCTTCTGATATAATCCTAGCTTTCACACTTCATTACGTATAGTTTGTCTCACTCTAGCATCTATCTCTCCACCCACACCCGTATTTTCTGTTTTTGACTATTTCCTTATTCTTGTTTGTCTAGTCTGTTCTCATTACACAAAAATTACACATACATTTTTTTAATATCTCTTCGAAAAGTAAGCATGTCCTTTTCGACAATAACAAAACGTCCACATCGAAATAAGCTAACAGAGTTTAGACCTGTGATCTATCTTTAAGTCTTACGACTAAAATTTTGAAATTGCATCGTTTAGTTTTCATACTAAGTTATCAAACTGTTAACGAGCACGTATTTTTTCCTCAATTAAAACAATATTTTGTACATAAGAATGCTCTTCTATGCGAGAACTGTTTCTAAATACTGGCAATCCTTCCCTATGTAGTTATGTATCCGTTAGAAGTCATAGAAACGACGCGAGCGCAAGATTTACATGTTAACCGACCTCCAAAATTCTTAAACATATTTCGTATGATATGAATAGAAGTTTTTGAATTTCGTATTTTCGTGCAGACACTTGAGTTCATTAGACCAAATAGAGAAGCGTGAAAAGTGTCCTGATCAGTTTACGGTGTTTCTTAGGGAACTAGTCTGACTTCCTGAGCAAAAAGCAGTGAGTCCTATAATGCTCTAAAGTATGTTCGTCGGATGCTGAACGCTCTTCATTGGGCAATAGACTGGAGACAAATTCTTGAGCTCAATAAATAATGTTTAAGGATGACAATGAGAGAAGTTCTTGTGATAATCACGAAGCATTTGGCTTGGATGCATGAGGTGACCGCGCCATGAAAGTACAACATAAAAATCCATCGTGACCATAAAAGCACATATTATGCTGATAATCTATAATGGCAATTGCCTCTCTTCAACTAGATAACTGTTGAGTCAAAATGTTGGCAGGCAGTTGAAGTTTAAGAGAGTAAAAATGTGCATAGAAAAGTTTGTCTTCAAACTATGTAACGTTTGTTACTTCGTGGAGGTATTTGATAAGTTCGTTGCAGTATGTATCGAAGAGTTGCAATTGTCTTTAGGAATATGTGATTTCGAGCTATTTGCCGCTTAGCTGTGGTGGCACTCGTGTCTCGCAAGATGCTCGTCGCGATACTTGAACTTGTCGTGAAGATGTGACCCTAAACACAGAGAAACAAGTCTTTGTGTGCACGAAAACACGGGATCGGTATGTAATTGCTAATGTCCCTCTAGAAGTATGCGAAATTATCTGTTAAGTCAGAAACACATCTGAACGAGTTCAACGAGTGAAGGCTCTTCACATAGGAGTAATTTGAATTCAATATATTTAGTGTTCGTTATCTCGTGAGGAAACGTGCACGCCGCATGAGTCCTGATGCTAGGGTGCCTGTCGAGATATCTGATCGTTTATAGACTCCAGTTCTAGCTGAATGTGTACATGTACATGTATGAGCGTGCAGAAAATTGAATCGTTATCATAACGCAGTACGCTGCGGGCAATATTCTTATGTACGTAATAATAATTGCCCCTCTGCATGTAGTTGACTGGTGTTAAGTCAGAAACACATCATAGTCTGTTCTTTACATTTACTAATGCAAAATATAAATAAACAAACTGCCTTGAAACGTGCGGTATTTTGCAACGAAATTTGAATTCAAGTTAATCCGAGCGAGTAGCGGAGAGAGCAAAGCGCCCCATAGCCGGAGTGGCGATGGTGGTGTGCCGCAAGGATGCTCGCCGGGGTACCTGAGCGTGTTACAGATGCGAGTTCTTGTTGGGTTCTACTTGGACGTGTATAAGCGAAGAGAAAAATGCATCTTGCACATAAAGCAGTACGCTGCGGGCAATTTGTATTAAGAATTGCCGCTCTGCAAGTAGTTGACTGTTAAGTCAGAAACATATGAGAGTCCACTCTTTACATGTACTAATGCGAAAGGTAGATAGGCCAAATTGACTTGGAACGTGCGTTATTTTTCGGCGCGATTAGAATTCAGCGAAGTTCATCGGAGCGAGTAGCGGAGAGTGCCGAAAGTGGCGTGCGGCAGGGTTGCTCGCCGGGGTACCTGAGCATGTCGAGGAGGAGAGTCCTTGCTGGGTGCCTGCGAGTGTGACCCGCACTGCCGAGCTGCTGAGACGGACGAGGGACGGCCGACTTGGCAGAAGGGAGCGCGCGCGCGCCTTATATTCGCGGCTGGCGACGCCGGCGCGGGGGCGGCGCGGCGCGGCGGGCGCTGTGGCGGGTGCGCGCCACAAAGGGTGCAGATGCGCCACGCGCCGCCACGTCGCCGCGTGGCTGCGTCTGGCGGCGGCCCGAGCGAAGGAAACCGCGCGCGCACGCATGCACGTGTGCACGCGCACGCCTCCCGCGGCGACAGAAGCGCAGGCGGCGGGGAGGGGGAGGGGGCTGACTCGCCAAGCAAAATGGACACGACTAAAAACACTTTTAAACATAAGGAAAAATACATTATATGAACATTTTCTTTAATACTGGTTATTAACAGAGTCGGCGTCGGCGTTTTAGAAATAGTTTTATTTTTGCTTTCTCGCCTTACGAATTCTTCGTAAGAAGAAAAAGTTATGTAATTGTGGGAATTTTCGACAGAAAAAGTCTTATAGCCGGTCTCTTGTTTTACTACCAATTCCCCCTCGGGAATACATTTGGATTCACCATTACATACATTACAATACAATAGTATCATCACAAACAATACATATAAGCAATACATCCCAAAATACTATATTAAAACATTACATCTCAACATTATAGCTCTTTACAATCCAATCTAATAATTTCAGTGCAATAAAATAAAATCACAGAAACGCAATGAAATATTAGGATCGTACCTTAAATACTGTATTCTCCTTCCCATAGCATCCACATCTATTCTTCTTAATCACTGATCCTCCTTCATCCTTCACCTTCATTCCCCTTCATGAACCTCCAAGACCTTTCCTTCAGTTTGTCATGTATACTTATCTCAGTAATTTAACCAGCCCTCCTATTTTCATATATTTTTCCAATACATGGTTCCAATCTTCTTCCTCAATGCCACATTTCCAGCATAATTTAGCCTCACTCTATAGCTAATATCTTCTAACTCTCATATCATTTCCTAGCCTGTACTTTGATATCAACTTCGTTGCTCTCTCATCACATTTCATCTTAAAATACGTATGTAATTCTCCCTCCTGTATAATCTTACATACATTATTGTATTGTAATTCTCCTTCTTTCCATTTCCTGTTCTTGTGTATCCTTGTCTCTTTTTTTCAATAATTATAATATCTATTCCCCTCCCCTCAATCTATAACTCTCTACACTTGCATATAATCTATCAATCTAAAATTTATCTCAATAATTTTTCCAATCTGACTTTTTTCGTGCCTTTTCTTTCTCAATCTCTATCCACGTCTGTCTTGCTAATTCATATTCTTTCATTACATTCTCCTCGTATCAATTTGGCTTCCTACCTGCCATTAGTCAGAATTAGATTTTGCCTTCCTTCTTGTTAAGTATTCTAGCATGCAATTTTCGAGATCTAATCTCCATTTATTAAACCTATTTTGAATTACCTCTCCTCTTCCCAACTCCTCCACTCCTCAAAACACAACTGATTCAACCAAACTGTAAAGTATTCTTCTTTTTTTCAATTCTCTGTAGGTTTCCTCCTTAATATCCCTTACACCTGCTTCATTACTGCCATTCTGTTTTTTCCTACCTACCTCAGCAACATGTTTTTCCATGTCCCCATACCTACTAAACCAAAACCTTCAATATTTTATTGCATTAACTTCTCCTTTTTCCTTTCCACCAAAACGTCTTGCATTTCCTCCTCTTCTTGCTTTTAATGAAATCTTTGACCATACTTTTTGCATATTTAATTCCAGCTTTCTCTTTTCTAAAAATCTTCCTAGACTCTTAATCATTTGAACCATTTCAAATAGAGCCGAAGAAAACGTATCGATCGTTCTCGTTGGCTTCTGCAGTCTCAGAGGGCTCGCGCTCTCCTTTTCTGCCTATTTTCAGCCCATACCGAGAATCGAAACTATCGGAACCGCGCACTCTAAGGTGTTCTCTGCAGTGAGTGCTTTGTCATATTGTTCTCATATGGTATTGGTTATTCTATTGACAGTGAAATAAATAATGCGTTTAAGATATTTAAGAAGATATTAAGAAGATATTAAGAAAAATGCTTGCGTAATAAACCGTACCTTGATATCCGGTGACGCCTGAGGCATTCGTAATAGACAGCTGCCTTTTCGTCCGCGGACGCGGAATTCCGATAGAAAGCCTAGTATCGGTATCGTTCGTTCTCGATAATGCAGAGTCGTAAACAGCATCAGGACATGTGGGGCTCGGTACACAGATCTCTTCGCCAGAACGATCGGAACTGAGTGTACTAGTTTCCGCCTCTAATTTCTATTGTATTATTGACCGGATAGCACAATGCCGTCCGCGTAGTTCAGCGACCACTCTTTAGAATTTCTCGCCCTCCTTCATCTTGACCAGGTTAGTTCCTTCATCAAACAAATTATTTCTTTTAATAGGGATAAGATAGTACTTAGAAATCCTACGAAATTGGATGGATAGTGATGGAATATTAATAAAAGACTTGAATAATTTATTTAACGTGAAAAACTATGAAAAATTGTGTGTCATACTAACGAGGAAACCAGCAATCTATGTCCATTTTCTTGAGCTCTGGGATCCCGACTCTCACTCATACTACTGTTCAACATAGTATAGTAAATAATAAGTAATAACAGTAAATAAGAAAATAATATTATTTAAAAGCGCTTTTATAATAATTATTGAAAATGTAAGATTATTTTAAATAATAATAATAATAAGAAGAAGAAGAAGAAAAAGAAGAAGAAGAAGAAGAAGAAGAAGTCTTCTTGAGTCGAACAGTGTCGAGCACTGACTGAAAACACTTTATACTGTCACATTAATTAGTAGTTAGTTGAAAATATGCCGTTTTCCATCTTTGAATTATATATGAAGTAATTATTTCACCGCAGAGACCTTTTCTAGTATTCACAAACTTCTGTAGAAATGTTTCTCTTAAATTAGTATAAACATTTTTATGGTATTTTCATTTATTTGTGATCTGGATAGCATGGTACATTGGATAATGTATCTAGCAGTTCCAGTTTTCCAATTTGTTTTTAATACATCCTTTCCACATCACCACAATTCTCTATCTCATACTAAATCTTTCAACTTCGAATTTTCCATAGTTCGTGAAACTAAAATATGTTAAACTCTTTTGGATTTCGTTTTAAATTTTTAATTTATTTAATATAATAGTGAAGCAAACAACAATTATAATGTTAAATAAATCGGGAATTATTCATATTTCATTATCACGTGTAAAATAGCTGATATTCCAGTTATGACATGTTTTTAATTGTGTTTAATGCATTCTCCAATTATTATTAGTATCCCAAAGATATCGGTTCTTTACCGAGATGAGTGAATACTGTACTGGTTAAGGAATTTCAGGTGAAACAATTACACCAATGTCTTCTCAATTAGATTAGTGGTTCCCTGGGGGTTAATGGCATTTTGTAGGGGCGCAATGATGATCAAGGGGTCGATTAAGGGTCTTCAGCCGAAAATAAACCGCCGATTGATTGGTATAATCAAGATTTCAATGACTAGAAAAATGTTAATGAACTAGATAATTGTTTTCTGATATAAATAAAAATTAATAAAATAATAAATTGCAAACTTGCTCCCCATCTTTTGTTCATTTTTGAGATCTGGAGCCTAGCTAAGCTGATGCAAACGGTGCACCCCAACGTTCTCCAAAAGTAATGAGGAAAACGATACATAACGTATCGCATTTAATAAGGATTCCCGCAGACGGATATCAGTGTAGAATGAAATAAATCGCACTCCATATTCATTTTCTCTATTACGTAGGCCATATTCCTATACCATTTAGATTAAAAACTCATAACTCATTCACTTTTATTGTAGATAGGGGTCCTGTTTTGACTTTCTGCACTGGGGCCTGCCAGAACACGGCTATACAATTGCTTTGAATGTTTACAAAACTCAACAAATTATAATTATCTATTCACAAGGATACTCTATCGAGGAAGAAAATACTTCCTGCAATAGGGCCTACGCACAGAAGATATGTTATGTTTAGTTAAAATAAACCAATATTTTCTAACATTTGCACAATGAAGATGGGCTACTCGAAAGCGAAATTAACGTAGATTATTGAAAATCGAAATATTTACCAAAATAATGATGTACGAAACTGTTAGCTTAACGACATTTATGTACAATTCTTAGCGTTATTACAATGTATGCTATATAATGGAGAATAACGTGAGGGGTCTATGGAACAAACAAATATCTTAAAACGGGGTCGATAAAAGAAAAATGTTATGAATACCTGAATTAAATGATGAAATTTTTCTAAAATCAGTTTGCTGTAATGCTTCCTTTCTGTACAACAGGTTCTTGATATTCTACGAGGTTCTGAAGATTGCGCTTGTAGAAACTCAAAGCTCTGATCGCTTATAGAAAAGCAAAGGCTCTGATGTTGAATCTCGCTGAAGAAAAATATTTTAACGAGTACAAGCGAATAAATTGCAAATTTGGAGCAGATGGAATTGAGAAACAAATTATTAATTTTATTCCGCTAGCCGGCAGACAGAATTGTACTGCACTCGCTCTTGGCTAATAGCGCTGATCCCCCTTAGGCCTTTCACGGCGCTTAGATGCTTGAAATTGCACATAAAATTGCGATTATATAAAGGTTGTGACTAAATTGAAAAATTACAACCACGAAAAAAGAACTTTAAACGAACATCTATTCTTCTGACCCTAAAACGGTAAAGGAATTATTCATTAGTAATATTATGAGGAAAATACTGACTTTTTTCATCTGAAATGTCTCTTACATATTATGAAGAATGTCTGATAGGGCACCTATCGCTACGATGTGGATAGAATGACATTTTCATTGAGGGCATTGTGGACTATCTTTGAAAGTAAGTGATTAAAAGTAGGTAATGTTCAGGAAGTATCTCAAGACTCTTTGTTAAAATAAACAATAGTTGTGGTTATGAATATTCCTGCGAATAATCTATATAATAATATTATACTGTCATTGGCACTTCCTGCAAAAACCCAGAGTGATATAAACACTCGACATTTTAGTGAGGTATCACGCCCATATTCTGATTACATTCATGAACCATTTGATAATTGTTCAATGACACTCGTCGTTTAAATGTGCAATTATTTTATTTCATATTGGTTGTACCCTAATTAAAATAGTTCGAGAAAAAACAAAAAACACTGTGCATACATCACT